GGCGGGGGGAGACGGGGGGCTGCCGCGGCCCGCCGGGGGCACGGAGCGTCGGTTCAAGACACACACCCCCCCGCCCCCCAAAAGACAGGGTCCCCAAGCGCTGGGTGTTGGGACTCTCGGCCCAGGCGAGTGGTTCCTCTGCGAGGTGCTGCAGCAGGGCAGCTGCAGGGCTGTCTCCCTTTGTGTTCATTGCTGGTGCCACCAAACGCTAGCACAAAGAGAAGGCCCTGTTTCCTCCTGCTCTGTAAAAGTCTTAATTACTGGATAGGCCAAAAATCACATCCTTTAAAGGAAGGTGGGTGGAACGACCCAAGTTTTTGCTCTCTCTTTTGAGGGCAGACTGGGGCATCGGTGTTGCCGGGGGATACTGCCAGCACTCGCCTCAGCAAAGGTGCTGGGTTTGCCCCTTGTTTCTTCCCCCAGGTACGACCGGTTACTGCGGATCCGAGCACTAAGGTGGGAGTATGGCAGCGTCCTGCCAAACGCCGTCCAGTTTCACATGTCAGCTGAGGAAGTGAGTCAGCCTTGTCTTAAACTTTTCCCCTCTTTCCCCTTATTCCTCCTGATGGATTTTCTATTTAGTAGAGTCAAAGTAGGGTAGACTTCCCCCATTATAAACATGACACTTAATGTGCCTTTCTGTAAATACTGATTTGTTTATTCATTGTCTGTGGGTACAATCCCAAATGGATACTGACTGCAGGTGATGCTTGGCACTTTTAAGGGTCAGGTGGCCTTCACTAGATCAGACTCGCAGCCAGCAGAACTAAGTCTTCACATGCTGCCCTCAAATGCCACCTCCAGACCAATGTACAGAGCTGCTAACATTAGCAGCACGTGTCCTACCCTGAATCCAGATTGCTCTGCCTCTGGGGCAGTTTTTCCCTTTAGAAGAGCTCGCGATCACCTGTGGCTGGCATGAACATGCTTGGGAACAGTGGTCTGGCGGCACAAATAAACTAGATCTCGCTCATCAGGGAGCTGTCTTTCAGCATTAGCTGTTTGGCTTTGCCTGAGGGATTGCTGTTAACGTCCACAGGTGGAGTGGTTCAATCAGTACAAAAAGTCTCTGGCTACCTACATGCGGTCAGTAGGAGGAGAGGAGGGGCTGGACCTTACACAGGACATAAAACCTCCTAAAAGCCTGTACATCGAAGTAAGTGCAAGATCGGTGGTTTCTGTCTGTGAACTTTGCCCGACCATCTTTTTTTAGAGAATTTCACCCCCATCCCAAGTCAGAAGTTCATTGAGCAAAGCCTTCGAGAGCACCAAAGCTTCCACAAGCTTCTACGTTTTACTCTTTACAGTCTGCCTGCCAGCGTTTTACTCCCTCCTCTACTGAGTGCTCAAAGTATGTTGAAAGATGGCATTTCTAGTCCGCAGGGAATTGGTGTGGTGGGGTGAGTGGTCTGAATCCCAGTGAGTTCTTGCAGTATTTTGCAGAAATTTGACCAACTCTCAGATCAACTAGAAACCTTGTTCCCATGTTAAGGACTGTTAACTAGTTTTCTTTGTTATTTTAAATGGACTGATAGATGAGACTATAAATTGTTTTACACAATTGATACAACAAAGCAAGAGCATGTGAGAAATCAGAGTCAGTAGCTGAAGAGCTCTGTTCTGATGTTCTCTTCAAAAGAACGTGTAGTGACAATCAATCTGCTCCTTAAGACAGTTTCACTGTTAACAGATTGGCATCTTCTGGTATGTGTGTGGGGAGGTTCTCCTGGAAATGCTGCTGCTGTTCTCCAGACCCTGTCTCTTGTGCTGCTCTTCCTCTAGTCTCTGTGGAGGGCTGGGCTGGGCTGCTCGCTGGTGCGTCTTGCTCCAGACAGAGGCAGGAAAAGAATGTCAGGTAGAGACCACAGACCGTGGGATCAGTCCAGTTCTGCATTTCCAGGTTTGCTCTATATTGAGGCTCCAGCAGGCGGGTGGGAATGTGTCCATACTTAGAGTTCTGGGGCATGTGTTGTAAGTCAGGAGTGATGCCTAGTGTTTTCTATGGGAGATCTGATGATCTGAGAGCTGCATTTCCACTTTGCAGGTGCGGTGTTTAAAAGACTATGGAGAATTTGAGATCGATGATGGCACCACCGTCCTGTTGAAGAAGAATAGCCAGGTACCCGTGACAACAGAGTGTGGTCCGTTCTCTTCCTTCCCTTTCATTCCCATGACATCCCCCTGCTTATCCCAGCTTCGCAGCACGTCACAGTTCCTGCACACACAGCTCCTTGCACATGCTGCAAGCTGTCTGCATGGCCCAGGACTGCAGTTCAGCTCTGCCTGATCTGGTATCACGATGCAGGAGGCAGACAGCACAACAAACAGAGCTGGTTGTGTGCAGCAACAAATCCAGTCTGCCTGGGTTTTAAGGAAAGTTTGTCTGTGTTTCTGTGCAGCACTTTTTACCCCGCTGGAAATGCGAGCAGTTAATCCGACAAGGAGTCCTTGAGCACATTCTGTCGTAAGCGTGCAGGACAGGAGGGACAACCCTTACTTGGTGGCCTGCCCACAACGGGGACCGAATTCTGGTGTGTGCAGGACTTCAGAGACCTCAGCATTTCTGCAGTGGGCACCCTGCCACTCTTCTTAACGGCTTTTGATACATGACATGAAGATCAGACCTGAGTTAATAAAGCATGTAAACCACACTGGCCAGGTCTTCATGACCAAAGGGTGCATACTGGTAACGCAGCGATCCTGGGAATCCAGCATACTCGGGGGTGGCACTGGGGGGAGGTTGGGGGAGTGGGAAGGGGGTGTTATCCAAGCCCCACAGCTACAAGCAGGTTTTGTGAATGCATTTTTGGTTGGAGCAGTTCTTTGTTCACACTGTGCACGTGGGAGTAAGAGACCAACCGGCTGGGCTCCGGAAGCCAGGAGAGCTCTATGGTTGCAAAATAAAGAACTGCTTCAGCCTTCAATTTAGTGTTTTTCAAGAGTTAACGTTGTGTTCGTTAAACACTCTGACCTGGCTCTCTGGCCCAACCCACCTTGACCCTGCAGGGTGATGCTCAACTGGTTATTTAGGTGTCTCAGTGGAGCTGCTCCTCCAAGTTTCAGATGAGGCTGCACAAGCTTCTTTCTAGGATGAGACATGAAGCCTTGTCTCCTATCGGAGGCCTATAAATGTCGTTTCTTAAGTTGCCGAGTGAATGAGCACTGCAATCTGGGTCATGGGCCTGGCCAAGGCTTCTCCCAGCACGCTTGGGCTGTGCCTCCGTCCCTCTATGAAGAGTCTCCTTCCCCAGAGCACTGGTCTGGCAGGGCCTAGGGACTATTTGGAGTAGGGGTGGGAAAGGGAGCAGAGGGGTTTAAGGATTCCAGTTAGCACAAAACCAGAGTAAGGCTGAAGAGCTGCTACTCCCTGTCTGGTTTTCCTAATAGGGCTGCTCACTCCTGAGTAGTGGCTGAGAGATAACACTTCCAAAAACATAAGCCCTATATAAGACTAGGGCTAGGTTTGCCTAGCCCCCATCTCTGACAGGAGCCAAAAAGCAAATACTTGGGGAAGAATACAGTAACAGGATAAATGCCTGGGGCGTTACTGCCTTGTTCTCCCAGCCACAGCCAAGCAACCTCCCTGAGCTAGCCCACACCCTCTGTGGGGCCTCCCTCCTTGTAATAGCCCAGCTTCCCTCATGGCCCTTGTAATCAGGGCTGTCCCCAAGGCAAAGAAAGAGGAGTCTCAGCTGTCATCCACCAGGACCGAAAAAGCATGCCTAGACCAAGAAGGCCTCCTCAGTTACAGCCTCCAGCCATCTCCTGGCACTATCCCAGGGCTGGGGAACCCCTCTGCCCCGACAGGCTGGGACTTCAAGGCCGTGGCTGAGTTTTAGCTCACAGCCAATTTACCCCCTTTTGTTCTTGAACCAACAACTTGAGCTATTTTTAAGCCCTCTTCGTTGTATTGACTTTGTCCAGCCTCTGCTTTGCTACCTTGATCCAGTCAGGCTTGTCTAGCCTCCTTGTACGGTAGTCTCCATAGTCCCCAAAATCCTAGGAGTCCTTTCACAGCTAGTGGCCACAGCCCCCATGTAAATACCCTCTGTTCTGCACAGAGCAAGGCAGGGGCACCGTGACAATGATGCATCCTCCATGCAGAGGGTAACACCCTGGGCAGCTCAATAAATCTGGTATTTGCTGATGTGACTGCTTTGCTTTGTGGCCTTTTAGACAACTTATTTTGGCAAGAGCAGTACTCACTGCCAGTGTGTGAAGGCCAACAAGGGAGGCAAGATGACGCAGTTCACTTACCATGTCTCCTGGTCTCCTTTGAAGAAGTGCAGTGCTGAGTAGGGGTCACCAACCCTGCCCCAAGCCTTGGAGGCTCAAATTGAAAGAAAGCTCTTCCCTCAGCCCCTCTGTCCTGTTCACTGTAGAGGCAACAATCTGGCAACAGGTTGGTTTGGTTCCTAGGCTCAGGCTTTAGGAGGGCCAGAGTCTCCTAGAGCCCAAGAAGAGCTGTAGGGAATAAAAGTTCAGCAACAATTGGGGGAGGCTACTGAAATACAGAGCAGACTGGAGAAGGCAGGAGGTGCTGTAATATTGCAAACATTTTAATGCCACAACACAGCTTTCCTGCTCAGAGTGAGCCAGATGCAAGAACCTGCAAGCCCTCCTACCCTGGTTTTCCAGCCGTAACAGCGTGGCCCCAATAGCAACCCTCTGCGGAGAGGGAGCATCCGCACCACCACCAAACACGATGCCAGAGTGCAGGCAGCTCCTGTGGGATGGCTGTCCTGAGACAGACCTGACTTACAACAGCACACTGCCACTGAAAAAGGCACCAAAGCTGGTGCTTTCAGTAGGAAAATTCAGCTATCCACAGGACCAATTTCCTTAAAGGATTCTGTCTGGTTTCTCCATTTTCTGCTTTCTACCCAGGAAAATCCTGGCAAGACCGGGGAGGACAAGGCTGATTTCCTAACCCAGCCATACCTCCCCTTCTGCACCCGACAAACCCCGGCCAGGGCCAGGGCCAGGGCTGCCACAGCGGGTGCCCCATCACCCACTCAGAGATGCTGGCGTGATCTTTCCAACGAGCTGCTTCAGAGCTGAGGCTTGCTCCTCCAACAGCTGGTTCTTCTCCTCAGTTGTCTTCTGCTTCAGCTCAGCCACTTGCAGGGCCATTGAAAACCCCCTGTTCTCCTCACGGAGGTCTTCAATCAGCAGCTTGTTCCTGGAGAGTTGGGCCTACAGCAGGGACAGGAGGCTTAAGGTTCAGCATCCCCACACAGGGGTCCCAGACAGGCAGGGACATGCAACACTAACTCCTCTTGCACTCACCTGGACGTCTTCGAGCTGAGCCACCTTCTCTGCCAGCACAGCTTCGGCACTCCTCAGATTGTGCTCCAGCCCTTCTGCCTGCTTCACAGCTGCCTGCAGCAGACGCTCGTGTTCCTCCTGCAGTGGGCAACAAAGCCTAATGTTGGGTTGTCCCAGCACTCACCTGGCCCCTGGTAAACCTGGACCATGCATTTCCCCAGGGCCCTACTCACAGACCTTCACACTCCCTGAAGGAGCATGGGGGTACCAGCGGAGGTGGTGCAGGATGCAAAGAGCAGTGGGACAAGTGTCTAGAGCAGTACAACCTTCCCTAGGTCAGCACCAATCTGTTTTAAGACAAGGCACAGATTTCCCAGCAATGTTTTCTATAAAAACAAGCCAATGGCCTTCCCTGTCAGCCGTGTCCAGAAAAGCCCAGGGGGAGACATAGTTTCCTTGGATGCAGTTTTTGTGTCTGCTCATTTTAATTCCTCAGGTTATAATTTGCTCCATCTTTGCTCAGATTAGTTGAATTGAACCACAGTGTCCTGAAACAAAGGACAAACTCACAAAAACCCAACACCTTGTTGCCCAGTGCCCTAGAGATAAAATGACCCCGCTCTGTGCAGGCTACATCTCCATGTAGAGGGCTCAAACTTTCTTTCCCCAGCGTGAGCCAACACAGTGTCTCCCTGGATAATTGCTGCTCCTCTAGGCACAAAGTATCTGGTCTGGGGTAGGTGGATTAGAGTGGGGAGGACTTCTGTTTGAGTGCAGGGCGGTGGCTGGCTTCATGAGGAATGAAAATTGCAGCTGAATTTGAAGATCAAGTGCATTTTCCACGTGGGCTCTTGATATATAGCATCTTCCACCTAAACTGCTGCTGCTTCCACCCAATCTTCCAGGCTGGCAGGGCTCCCTCCCTGGTACCCTTGACTGAGTTCCCACAATTCCCTGCTTACCTGGGTCCTGACCAGCTGCCTGCATGTCTGCTCAGCCTGCCGGTGGAGGTTTTCCTGGAGCTGCTGAGCCTTGCACTGTTCTTCTCTCAAGCCGGTTTGCAGCTGCTCAAACTGTTTCTTTGGCACCATGTTGTTCATCTGGACCTTGGCCTGCTGCAACTGCAGTGCATGCCGAGTCTGAGCCAGGCTCAGGCTTGCTTTGGCTTCTAAGAGCTGTAACACAGAAAGGCTGATAGCTGGTGACAGCTTTGTGCCAGCAATGGGACAGGCCCAGGGTGTGCTGCAGGTGAGGGGAGAGATTAGGAAGCACCCTCAGCCCTCGCCTCAGCTCTCACGCCAGCATGGTCTCAGCAGAGCAGCAGGATCATGGGAGTGGTACTTGCTGGGCAGCCTACAAAGCCAGGGATGGAGAGCGCCGAGAGCTGCTAGAGGAGAAACGGGGACCCCTTGCTGAGAGATGCTCCCCTTGCTGAGCAGCAAGGAGCACAATTTGCTGGAGGAATCCTCTAGGAGGGAGTCCTAGCACCAAGGGCCGCAATGGCAGGAGGCAGAGCGCGCTGCTCACCTGGGTTTGTTCTTAGATACATCCCAGGCAAGCTGGGCTTCAATCCCTGCCTGTACTACATGTCCTCTGCTTCCTGCCACCAGCACAGGGCAAACCTGGTACTGGGAAGCAGGTCTGGTCCAGCTTTGCCTTAGGGCTACCTAGGGGTGGCTGGCATGAGCAAGCTGTACTCTGGAAAGCCAGTCCCTGAGCCTGTCCCCAGGACAGAAGACAGAACAGGGATATTAACACATTTGGAGGTTTCTCACATCGGCTTTCCTCTATCCTAGTGGTCCTTGTTCCCCTGCTCTGATCACCTTATTTCCCTCCCCTCAGACATCGCCTGCCTAGCCCCTGCCATCCCTGCCCAGCCCGTACCTGATCCTACCACTCCTCTAGCTCTTCTGTCAGCTGAGCCATGGGGAACCACAGCTCCTGGCAATCCTGTGTGAGCCACCTCCACTCAGCCTCCATCTCCTCTGTCCAGCCAGCCTGCACAGGACAAGGACAGAAGGGACACCGCAGGGGCAGCTGCGAGCAAGGACCTGTCCCAAGCTGCACCTAACTGGCTTCAGACATATCTGAGCAGGAAGGCAAGTCCTTTGCCCCCCACAGAGGAAGAGGACAGTCTTTTCTGCCTGGGGAAGGTGTCCAATACAGCCCTGAGCAGGTCAATATCAACACCACAGGGACCACTCAGCAGCCTGCCACCCTGCCACCAACTGAATGACACCCACCTTCTCCTGCGATGCCTTGAGCTGCTGTCGGAGCAGCTCCATCTCCATCCAACATGCTGCATGCTGCTGGTGGTGCTCCAGCCTTGTGGCCGCCTCTGCTCCTCGTAGCCACTCAGCCTCTGCAAGCCTCTGGCTCCGCAGCTGGACAGTGCCAGGGCCAGCACAGTGGCCAGCCTTGTGCTCAGTGAGTTCACGGCCCAGCTGACGCATCTTGACATTCAGGTGGGAGATCCCCCCCTTGGTCTTCTCACTCTGGAGAAGGTTGAGAAAAAAAACAATTCATGCACAGAGGCTTGGGGTAGGAAGAGAGGCAATAGAGACTTAACCTGTCCCATGCTGTCCCCGCTGGGTTCCCACCCAGGAACACTGCTGTCACTGCAGGGCCTTGAGGGCACTCAGGACAAGTGCCCTCATTTCCCAGCCTGGGCAAAACCCAGCGGCCGAGTTCAAGCACGGCATTCCCAGGTAGGAAAACCCTATCCAGATGATAGCCCTGGAGGAGGTCACTAGGAAAGCAGCAGGGGGCAACTGTACAGATGTGTAACAGAAATATTAAGATTGGTAAGAATACAGTATGAATGGAAACGTGTCCGTGTGTACGTGTGAAAGTACCAGATGAAAGGGCAGAGTAAGGGCTACAAGAGCAGCCTGCATCGACACTAAAGGGCACCATCCCTCAGACGTTGCTCCTAGGACACCGTACCCAGCAGTAATGCTGAGCAAGGTGCAGTTTCTGGCCCATCCTCTGACCAGAACACAGCACAGATAACACGTCAGCAGAAAGCCTGCATCCAACAGCAGCACAGCAACACACCCCACATCCCATTCCTCTGCTAGCGTCCCAGGAAAATGGGCAACCAACACAGCTTTCCTCCAAAGGAGGAAAAGCAGACAATGGGCAGCAGGTTTGTGGCTGAAGGTTAATAGAAGCTGAAGCCAGCAAGGGCCAGCAAAGGCCACCCTGCTGCGGCTGATGGCCCCGAAGAGTACAAAAGACATGTCCTAAAAACAGGCTGTGGTTCCCAGTCATAAGGAATCCCAGGAACAGGGTGAGGAACTAACAGCCTGCAACCCTCATCCACGTTGCACACAAGCAATCCTGGCCAGGCCTTGTGTGCACACATGTCCAAGGGCTCATGAGCATGTGGGTTTGAAACAGGGAGTGAGCAAAATCTCTGGGAGAAAGAGTGCAAGTAGGTGAAGTGAACCTCATTAGAGATTTTGTAGTAACACCTTCCGTTCTATCAGACCTTCACTGGCTTTTGTCACACAAATTTTCCCTACTTTACAAGCTATAAAATGAAGCTGGTTCTTCAAAGCAAGACTGGGTTTGCATGTTTGAAACAAACATTCCCATTCTCCTCTGTAAGCACATGCAGTTTTTGTCCTCCTAAATCCTTCAGTCAAGAGCTTGTCAGTGTTAACAGCTTCTTACCGATGCTGTTAACTCTGCTATTTCAGCCAGCTCCTCCACCTTCTCTCTGCCCAACTCGCTCACGTGTTTCCTGTTGGGGAGAGGGATACAATCAGCTTCAGGCCAGAGAGCAGCAAACCACAGCCCCCCAGAAAAGGGCCCCATTTCGGGGAGCCACCCATCTGGTTTGGGCTTGCAACAGGAAGCAAAGCCAGGCCAAAACGGATATGGTCCCGAATTGATTCAGGAGTGGGTCAGGTGTCTCTGCCCCAACAGGTGGCTCAGCCCAGCCCAGGGCAGACAGCTGGGGACATCCAAAGTCCTGCAACATTGTCAGAGGCCTAAAAATCAGGGGATGAAGAACAGCGGGAGAACCAGCTTAGCAGACTCTTGGGACCATCCACACCAGAAACCTGGCTCTCCTTGGATTTATGGCTCAGTGGGTGACCCCAGTACCTACCTCAAGCTTCCTAAGGCAGCAGCAGGCCACTGGCCAAAAGGTTTGTGTAGCGAAGAAGCCCATCCTTTCCTCCCTCAGCCCTCAGCACACCCATCCCCACAGCCTTCCCCAAACCCAGCTCCAGACCCTGTGCTTTGGCCTGCCCAAGCCTTTGGCTGGCCAAGCCTGTCTCAGCACTGGCTGCTTTTGCGTGGAGCAAAGTGTGTGAGAGTGCTGGCTTGCTCAGAAACAAGAAAACAAAAGGCAGGTTGAGCCAGCTGAAATCTAGTAAATGCACCTGAGCGGCTGTTCCTTTTACAAGCATTAACTATCCACTCATTTGCCAGCCTCCCACAGCTGGCTCCTCTCTTACTCATCGTGTTCGCTGCCCTTCTCCTTTGCTAGCCTCAGCTCTTGCTGGAGTCTCCCGAGTTGACTTTTCAGCAAGCTGTTCTCCTCCAGCAGCCGACACAGCTCTTCCCTGCAGGGAGAGACAGCAGAGTGAGAAAACCATGCAAAAGCTCAGTTTTGCTCTTAGCATCCTATGCTGGCTTCCTGCTCTATTCCCATTCAGTTTGCAAGGACAGCAAGAACTAAAGAAATCTGAGAAACAACCATCCAATAACTCACACAAAACATGTGAGGACAATCAAGAGACATTGGTAGAGAAGGAGCAGGTCTTCAAGGAAAGGGAAATAAAGGGGAATAAGGACAAATAGCATCAGACCCTGAATTTGTGTGGCTTCCAGCTGGCCGAAACTATTTTGCGAGCCTGCCAAGGAGTGGAAACAAAGTGATTTGGCTCATCAAGACACACCGAGATTTCATTACAGGATAACCAGGATAACGCAACCCCTCAAGTGCAATAGAGCCACGTCTGGAGAAGTCAGCTTGCTTGTGAGGTCTCTGTGATTTTACAGTGCTGGACGCAACAGCTATGACCCCAAATCCAAGGTAGCCTCTCTGCCTCATTATCCTTCCACTCCTACTGGTACTCCCAGTCTCCCATGAGGCCATGAATACCGGCACTTGTGGGAAGGAAGCTCAGTCCTGTGTTAAGCAAACAGTCCTATCCAATAGCTACTGCTAAACTCCAGGTCCACACAGGACCCAAATTCTTCAGGGGAGAGCGTAGGAGAATGGACTGTCCATCCTGGCAGGGAGGACAGCATTGCAGTTTGTGGCACTGCACGTGAGAGGCAGAGGAGCTGAGTGGGGAAGTTCTTCCTCTCTTCTCCAAGCAAGCAAGCGAGAGGACTAATGTATGGGCTGTGTGGCATTTGCTCCCCCTGCTTGGCAGGACACTCCTCACAGCAGCTGCTTTCTGAGTCAGTTTTACATCAGGATTCACATGCTGTGCTTCCTGTGGCATCTCCAACACCCACATACAGCTGTACAAAGCAGAGGAGACGAGTGCATAGTCAGCCACAGCCACGTGAGCACATCCCAGCTCCCTGACCACACTCCCACGGTTACTAAAAGATATGCGGGGAACAGCAAGACAGAACATAGCTGCTGTTACAGTGACAAGACAGAACATAGCTTCTGTTAGAGCATCAAGAGAAAACATAGCTGCTGATAGAGTGTCTTGGACCACCATGTTGTCAAGCAGCCTTGTGTTTCACAAGGCATCTGCTTTTTTTTGCAGCAGCAGCACTGTGTTAGTTCTGCAAACTGCCTTTGCACTCAAACCTGCCACTCTCTCGAGCTCTGGGTTCATTTTCCAGCCAGTGCACAACATCTTTGAGCTGCATCAGCTCCAGTTTCACCCTGTTCCTTTCCCTCTCCAGCTCCATTTTGACAGCATGAATGTCATGTGTTTCCTCCTATGCCGCTGTGCCGCTCTGTCTCCCAGGGCTTTTTTTAACCATTCTTGCCCTCCAGATCAAGTCTGTCTATGTCCTGACATGCTGCTGTGTCTGCTGTGTGAAGGCAAACCATTTAATTTTGCTCCCTCTGCCTCCTTCCCAAGCACATCCCCTTGTCTATCAAGATTTCATTTCTCCTTGACAAATGCTTTCAGCTTTGGCTCCAGCTTCTAGATTGAGCAGGCCGTTCACTGCAACAGACATCTGCACCATCCATCACACAATTTTTCATTTCTTCTCTGTTCCTTTGGTGCTGAGGTTGCAACAGGAGATTTTGGTCTACCTGCTCATCTGAGTCTTGGGGACCTGCTCCTTTACCCCCAGAGGGCAGCTCTCCAGACACCTTGTCCCTTCCAAGACCAGAACCCTCAGCCCCATGATCTCTGCATTATTCCCATTTCACCCTGGTGCTTTTTCACTCTTTTTCTTCTCAACAGCCAGCATCTCACACATCTGACTCGTTCCTCATTAACATTCCCTTCCAACTTTAGCGGCCTCTTCTTCCACAGAAGATACTGTGGAAGAAGTATCAAGAGAGAAGATACTGTGGAAGAACATACTTTTGCTGAAGAGGCGATGCAAAGTTTTCTTCAGGTTGCAAAGTCAAGGCAATTAAATGTTACAGAAAGTTCCCACATCATTTTGCACTTCTCAAGACTCACCCATCAGATGTTTTCCAACAACTCCAAAAGCTCCCCACTACAGCCAGTCCCTCTACCATTCAGCAGAGATGGTGGTAACAGAGCTCAAATGTCTTGTATTCCTGTTATTTGGGTTTGTTCCCTGGGTCTGCCACAGACTTCAGCCAAGTCACCTCTTTTCTCCCACACCCACCCCATATCTCAGCTCCTCAGCTCTAAAACAGGGATAATGACCTAGCAAAATCCTCTGCTTGCGTATTGCCAAAGGGGACTCTGGTCCTGACAAGAGGCAGTGAAGGGAGGCACAGCAGGGAAGAGGCAGGAGGAAAGCCTGGGGGCAGTGGTGGGGTGTGCTAGGAGGGGGCAGGCATGGACAGGCAACAGTTTCCTGTCCAATTCCTCTCCAGTCTCCTCTGCAAGGCCATTCTGGCCCCTGGGGAGGTTGCAGAACTGGCACCACAAGCACAGGAAGGGAAGATGCACAGCCATTTAGTGACAACCTTACTCTCCCACAAGCCAGTCTGTTTTGGCTATATAGAGAAATTTAAGCCATTTTTTGCTGCTTTTAAGACAGCAGGTTGTGATGATCTAGCTGGTACAGGCAGGTTTCCTGAAGGACCAAGAAAGAGAGAGATAGTAAGAAAATACTGATGAAAGCCCTCTTATTTCTCTCACTGTTATGAGATACGATCTTTGCTGGGCACTGCCTCTGACACAAGCTTGTAGAACATGCAGGAAAACTTAGAGAGTCTTGAAATAAAAGCACTCATGTAAGGCAAGTTTAGACGCCTCACTTCGAACAGCTGCAGCCCTGCAATACTGCCCAGATTTTCTTCCAAATTAAAGCAGCTCTCCAGTCCCATGAGAAATCAGCCCCACCTACTCTGGTATGAGCAGGGGATGCACCCCTGGTCTCCCACTTAGCCCCAGAAAGAGAACGGTGCCAGACCTCAGGCTCTCTCTGTCCCTGCGCTGCATCCTCAGCTCTTCTCCCTCCTGGTCCAGCTGCTGCCCTGGATGGTAAAAGTCTTCAGTGTGCTGCTGTCCCACCCTGGCCTGCTCCATCTCAAACCTCTCCTCCAGCTCCAGGCTCCACATACATTTTTGCTCTTTCAGGCTATCAATTACAGCCCAGTACTTTGCAACTGTTTCTTCCAGGTCTCTCTTCTGGTCTTCCATCTTGCACATCTCAGCCTTGAAGCTTTCCTCACTGTCCTTCCTCTCTCTCTCAAAGTTTTTCCTCATTAACTCAATTTCCTCCTCGTAATAGTTTATCTGTTGGGAGGAGACAGGATTTGGATATTAGCACCATGGTCCTGAGAGCTCCCCTCTCCTCCAATAGCTCTGACTCAGATTGATCTACTGGTCCCTCTCAACAGGGGACACTCTTCAGGCAGTTCTGGTCCCTACTGAACTTAGGGCAATAGTCAGTCTCACGCAGCAGCCTCTAACAAGCAGGTATTGGTGGGTCCCAGCTCTTCCCAGCAAGCAGCACAGTTCTCCCCTTTCTCCTTGCTTGCAAGGGACCCCAGACAGGACAAGGGAGAGGCCAGGGCATTATCCGCTGCTGCTCCTCATATACTTCCTCCACCCTGCAGAGTGGTCCCTTGTCCAAGACGTGGTGGTGAATAGCTGCTGCTCCCCACAGCTCCCCTGTAAACGCTAGAAACTCCAGGATTTGATGAGCACAAAGGTAGGACTGTGAAGCAGACAGAAGATCTGCAAGCAGCTTTGTGCTCCTTGAGCTGTTCGTCACCTGTGTGGCAGTTTAGGATTTACTCTTACAGTGCTGCAATGGAAACCCAGCAAGCATCCCCGACCTCTCAGTTCAGCAGCAAAAGGAGCAAAGGTGGAAACTGAGGCTTCTCACATGAGCACTCACTGCTGTCTAAAGGGAGGGCTGGGCTCCTGCTGTCACCTCAGGGCAAGCAGGTTAAAAGTGTGCTGCAAGCCCAGGGAGACAGGGCTCTGATACCCCCCCATGCCCTCAGGAGACACCTGGCTGCTTCTCCTCTTGGTCCTGTCGCTGGTTTTACTGCGACAGCAACACTGAGTAGAGTTAATCTCTGGTTCCCGTTAAGGAGCAAGACCCACACAAACATTTTGCAAGGTGACAGAGATTTCCACAAAGCCTTTGCCAGCCAGTGAGGGCTCCAAACCCTCCTACCAACTAAGATGGGCTGCGGAAGCACATGCAATAACACCAGCAGGGAGATGAGGTACCACCCTGCTCCCCAGCCTGAACTCTCCAGCAACCCTCCTGGAGCAGATGCCCCATCAGCCACGCTGTAGCAGGGTGCTTACCAGGCAGTCACTCCAAGAGGTCAGGACATCTCCCCCCAGCACCTCACCTTGGTTTCCAGCTGCACCTTCAGGTCCCACACCTGCTCTTGGAGCTGCTCCATTGAGAGTGACGTCTCTGTGCATGCAGAAGTGGGAACCAGAGGGCTGGGAGAGCGGCACACTGGCAGAGAGGAGCCCTATGAGGACAGGCCTACAAGACAGGACAGGCCTGGCTGTCCTGGTCAGGATGGCTGCAGCTTCATCGAGTCAAGTCCATACAACCCCAAAAGATGGAGATCCCCATCTATCTGGCAACCAGTCCCAGGGCTCATCACCCCTCTGGGCCAGAAGTTTTTTCCTAATGCTCAACCTGAATCTCCAAACCCACAGTTTGGGGCTACTTCCTCTTTATTATATTTTGTTTCCTCAACATCCTCAACAGTGAAAATCTGCCTGTTCACTCCCAGCTGCCTAGTCCACAGGTCACCATCACCAGCTCTCAAGTTGGAAGAGACTCAAGACTCCATCGACTACCCTCCATCTCCCTCCTCCTCACCACCCATCACCCCCTTCTTCCCTCCCATGGCTGCCCAGTGCCAGAACTGGCAGCAGCAGCTCAGGCACAACAAGCCGCCCCACACTCCCATGGAAACTCCAATCCAGAGGGAACCTTGTTCTTGCTGAGAAGATGGAGAGACACTGAACCCTCCTGCATTTTACCTCCTGCTGGCAGCCCTCTCTCAGTCCTGCTCTCCCGTAGCTGGAGACGCAGCCTTTCCAGCTCCCTCTGCAGCACTCCATTCTGGACCCACAGCACCTGAAGCAGAGACTGGTCACGATGCAACTACAAAGCTCCCCAGGGCTGTGGGGGGCCAAGCACCCACAGCTCCCAGCAGCCATGTGTACTCAGGGTCTCTTGCAGCATGAAGAGCAGAGCCCCCTTGCCAACAGTCAGAGAACAAGGCAGGGGGATTTTCTTCCATCCCAAACAGGCAGAGATGAGAGATTTTGGAAGAGCCAGGGAAGAAATACAAGCCCAGATTACTGCAACCACTATTACAAGAACCATCACTAGACACTGTAAAGCACGAAGAGCCACAAGCAACTGCCCCCACACGCAAAAGCACACAATACCAGGGGCTTCTGCAGACACCTCGGAGGGTTGGACCTCCTGAGACCCCTCCTGACTTAAACAAAACCATTGCTAGTGACCAACACACAAGAAACACCGTGATCTCAGTACGATCCCTCATACAGCCCAGAGGTTTGCATTTACATCCTCGAGACACTCCTGTGGGCATCTGGGCTAGCCAGCAAGCACTACTGTATGCAGACAAAGCAACAGCAGGATTTATGGTGAAGCAAGTCCCACAGGCTCTGGAAGGGAACATTTCTAGGTTGCAGAAGGAATAATGTGAGGCGAGAAGGTGCTGATCCCATGGGAAGCAGAGCACGAGGCAGGTCCTGCTGCCTGCTTAGCCCAGAGACACCCTCAGAGGCCAGCACAGGACTTTATCCCGTCTCAGTGCCAACATTAGCCTGCAGCAAGGAGTCCCACGGCTGAACACCACACTATGAGCCACCACATCAGTACAATGAGCCACTTCCATGAATGTGTCTGGAGCTGGGCAACTGCTTGTTTCACTTCACACCCTCCATCCCATACTGGAAGCAACAGCGTACAAGGCATCCTGCCTCCCTCTGGACTGTCCACTTTGAGCAGACATCAAATTATATCCCATATGCTGCCACCCAAGAAAATGATGGGCTGCAACAGACTATGAACTAGGATGCTTCCAAAGATCCCAATTAATAAATATTATTGAGCAGATCTAGACAAATGCAAACCCAGTTTGTTTAACCTCCACTCTAAACAGGAAAGCAGAGGAAGAGGGGGACTGATATCATTCAACAAGGGTAAAGGATAAACCCAAGTGGGTGCCTTCACAGAGGCAGATGAAGCCTGAAGGCCGAGCCTCTCCATCCACCAGCATTCTCATGGACAACTCTGGGGCTGCTCAATGGGAGGAAAAATTACAGCACCAAGCATCTTCAACCCTCTGGTGCCACCTGGAGCAATGCTGTGCTGGATAGTGCTCCAGCATGTTTGCCTTTAATTACAGCTTCAAGAGGGACTGTCTGCTGCATCCGTGAAATGGCTTTGCTGAAAATGCAGATTTCAGGCCCTGCTGGGAGGACTTGATAAGTCACTGTCTCTACTCGGTGGTATTCCCCAGTCACACATAGCACTTGGAAACAAATGGGCAATGCAATAAGCACAGGACTCGGCAGCCAAGGCACAGAGCACCCAGCAGCTCACAACAGGCAAGATACAGAAGTCACCGGAAAATGAGAGAAGGGAAACAGAGACTGTGCTCATGTCCCAGAGAGCCCAAAGCTCTGGGCAGGAGCACAGCACCCTGCAGGAGGTACAACACACACAACACCAATGCCTGGACCACACACACACCAGGTACATGGACAGGCTCACCTTGACTTTCTAGCAGAGTCCAGCAGCAACAAGTTTTGTAGGGGTTGTTAAAATGGGGCAAGAAGGAGGAAGGGAAAAACAAAAAGATAGAATAATTTCACTGATAACATGCTTTCCAAAGAAGGAGAACAGCTCTCTCTTTGCATTCAAGAAGAAATGCAACAGAGCCCAGCGTGGTCTGTCCTTATACACAGAGCTACATGGTTCCCAAACAAAATGGCCCGTGGCTACAGGGTGGCAGGAAGGAAGGAATTTACAACTCACCCCTACTCCCCCCTGCCAGTATCCCAGTAAGGGAACCAACCCATGGAAGGCTGCAGGAGCAAGGAGACAGGCTGCTTTGCTGGGGCTACAGCTGTGTCCTGCCTCCTGTCAAAGGACTCTGAGCGAGGCAAGAGGGATCCCCCCCCTCTGCACTCTGATCAGGGCTGCCTCCTTCCTCTCTCCCAGGCCAAAGTGCCCAACAGATGTGCTGATGAGAGCTGTACTTTCACAACAGCATTGCCAGAAAGCTGCCCACCCGTACCTGGCACTGCCGCTCGTACTCCAGGACAATCTCTGCAAAGCGCTCGCTCTGGCTCGGGAGCTCTAGGCTCTGGGGCTCCACCTGGCCCAACTGCACAAGCACAGGGAAACACTTCTCATCAAGGAAATTATCACCTCTCCAAAAGGAGAGGCAAAAGCTCTACTAAATCACTGGAGTCATGGTGCTACACCCATAGATTCAATTGACACCTGTGGGATGGGTCCTATGCAGAAAGAGGAGGAAAAACATTTTTCTTCATGTGTGAGAGACACCAACTACAGGCAGGCTAGCTTTCCCAAACTGGCTAACAAGATCACAGACTCATTTCTTTCCCCAGATCCATTTTACCGGGTGCCTCACTGGAGTGGAAGACACTAAAACTAACACTTTGATACTTGTGGAAAAGAAAGCTTTTCTTTTCTGGAAAACAAACTCTAAAGTTCTCACTTGAAGACTGCAGATTTGTAGAGTTTTCTACAGTTGCAAATTTTCCTCGTCCTTTTTTTTTCAAACTTCGAAAGGCCTAAATTAAAAGCCAATATTTTTTCTTTCCAGGTTGTCATTAATGAGCAGGAGAGTTCAAAGAGGGGGAGACCATAACAACTGACCCAAAATATGCAAGATTTCATAGAAAAGCGTCAATCTTTTGACGAGTTCCTGAAAAGTTCCTATTTAACCGCAACAGAGAAAGAAAGGCTACCTTGTCCTTCACAACATGGTTGAGTTCTTTCTGCAGCTCCAACACCAGCTTCTCAGAGGCCGCCAGTTTCTCAGCCATCTCTGTGACCTTGTTTTGCAGCTGTGTGTTCTCCTGCAGACAAAAAGGAGAAGATTCTCCTGATGTTGTGGGTCCTCACATCGCAGGGC